TAAATGGTCCTTCCTCCTCGTTAGCAGCTGAGCATTCTCAGGAGAAGCTGTTACTTTCTTACCGTCGTTTATTTTCCAGGGAGGGCCTGATTGCCTCCAGAAAGGAGGTGGATTAAAAAAAATAATCTCTGGGATCGAACTAGAAGGAGCAGGGAGGTCACTAAGATTTAGGGCTGGGGTGACTTCCAGGGAAGCGGCAGGAAGTTCCGTGTTGAGAAGTGATGGGCTGCTACAAAAGGGAATGGCGGAGCTCTGAAAGGATTTAATTAACCGTGTCAGGGATAATTACCCCTGGACAGTCCAAATTAGTTTTGCATAATCGCTCAGAACCATATGAATTAACTTATAATATTGCAAAGCGTTGGGAGAATAACAAAAGCAGGATCGTTTTAATTAGTGAATCAGGGTCAGACGAACAGAGTGTTCCGCAAATCTTCCAAACTTCACACTTTTTGAACGTAATTCCAAGGCGAAGGCTGATTTGGAAGACATTTACTCAGGAGCTATTGTTATTGCCACAATTTAGAGTGCAATCAACCACTCTGGAGGAAAAAAAAATGCATTTCATACATTCATACACTGCATATACATGCACACAGACATACAAAACGAGTCGGGGATTGGCACCTCAGTGAGGGGACTAATTCTGTTCTAATGCCTTGTAGGTATTCACGCTGTGCGATGCTCACAATTCCCTTGATAAAAGGATGGACCACTTCATCCTGCTCCCGTTTCTCTGCTACATGCAAATTTCCCTGCAGACCTTTGCTTGAGTTACCTTCGAAAACAGGGCACTGAAATGGGAAAAGCCGTTTAGAGGCTAAGAAAGGTGTTAGGTTTTAGTTAGCAATCAACTGGGAAGGCCCGCGAAAAACACTCCAGGAATAAAGCAGCAATATTACTCAGATAGGTGAACAAATTACACCGGTTTAAGTGGTGAAGCTCTTAGGCTAACCAGATAAAGTGGTCAGGCAACTTTTCAGTCTGAAAACGTTACTGGAAACCGATGAAATGCTATGAACACTCTCAGTGTACTCAGTGAACTCTGTTCTGCTGGTCCATGAATGCCTTTTTTTTTTTTTTTTCAAGATAATATGACAACTCAGGGGTTTTTTTTATCTTCTTTCCTATTCACGATTAAAAATGTGATAAATCAGGTTTTTGGCTCTGAATAACAATGGTTTGATTTAGATTTTCTAGTAAATCTATTCAAAAGTGAAACAAAGACAGCCTTTAGAGGATACCTTACACCTCACCTGGACCAGGCACGTAAGGGCAATTCAGATAAAAATCTTGTTAGCAATTCAACAAGAAATAGAGGATTTTCTCTTTTCCCTGCTTCAGGCTTTATTTAAACTCTTTGTTCAAAAATGAACAGAGTGGTAGTCGGAATCTAATTTACAGATATAGTTTAGACGTCTAACTTTAAATTAGAAGATCACACAAGAAAACCATTTACACGTAAATGTTAAAACCATTACTTAATCATTTTTTTTTTACTTTATATTACATAAAGGTAAAATGAAACTAAATACATGTTAGCCAGCTTCATTCACAAACATTAGTCAAAATATACACATTACAAAAGTAAACCAAAAAAGAACTCTAAACTGATGAAGGATTTTTTCCTCTAAACTTTGTTGTTTTTTCTTTTTTTTAAACGCCATTTGCAATTGAATTGCAGTGGCTCTAAAATAAGCTAAACAGGTAGGGTACTCCAAAACACGTGTGAAACACTTCATGTTCATGGGGGAAAAAGATTTTCTTTTAAATGAGAATACTCTCCTGTCAAAGCAAAGCTCTGTTTCAGTTCAGCTAAATAATAAATAGATAATTATCACTCAGACAAAAAAGTCTGATTTAACCTTAGATAATATTGCGATCCTCAAGCAGTCTCACAATATTTTTATTCCCTTTGAAAGGCATTCTTTTTTTTTTTTTTTTTTCTTTTCAGGTTAAGACTGAATCGACCGTGGGTGAAGTAACTAACAGTTTTCAATCCGAGATCTAACATTTCCACAGAGATATACAAATTTACAGTCTGAGGGTGAGACTTAATTAGTGGGGGATGGAGGGAGACACACGGGAACAGAGAGTCACGCGTCTTATCCTCTCGTGAAAATCACGACCCGTGCTTGTCAGCATCCCATAGCAGCGGAGGGCAGAAATCCACGCATGGCAGGGCACAAAGCAGGAAAGGCAGCATCCCGCACCACCGATTCTTTCTTTGCGTGGATCCCACGAGGGGCTACGAATCAAGGACAGAGTGACCCTGTCCTTTACTGGGACGGCACCTGGTCCTGCCGTGCTGAGCCGGGACCTCACCACCCCTCTTCTCCCCCGGCTTCCCCGTCTCTCCTCTCGGTGGCAGGGGTTCAAAAACGGGACTGTTCCGAATCCAGCACCACGCGGGGAGTGACAGAAGGGAAAGCCGGAGCCGGCCGAGGGACGTTGCTCCCCGAGTCTGTGCCCAACAAGCACTTTAGGGGGCAGGGCGGATCGGTTATATTATCTTTTTTCCCCTTTTTTTCTTTTTTCTTTTTTTTTTCTTTTTTTCTCTTTTTTTCTTTTTTTTTTTTTTTTTCTTTTCCCCTTCTGTTTCAGCTGGGCTATCTGCACAGACCGCATGCAACACACACAAGCTCTACCCCGGGCAGCGGGCAGGGGACGAGCAACAGGTCGTCCGCCGCCCCGGCGTTCCCCATAGCCTGCCCCGGTCACCCTCCGCGGCCCCGGCGGCGGCTCGCCCCCCTCCCCGTGCGCACTGATGCGCCGGCACACATCCAGGCGGGCGCCGGTGCTCTGCGCGGGCCTCCTCCGGCTGTGGGTCATAGTGCCGCGGCATAGGCTGCGGGATAAGGGTCCAGCTGGGGCTTGCCCATGCCAGGCAGGAGGATGTAGGCCAGCGGCGGCTGCAGCCCCGGCCCGGGCCAGGCGCTGCAGTTGCAGGGGATCATGTAGCCCGGGTTACCGGGCGACGGGTGCGAGTGCGTGTGCCCCCCGGCGGCGGCCGCGGCGGCGGCGGCGGCAGCGGCGGCCCCATGGAAGGCGCCCGCCCCGCCGGCGCCGGGGTAGCCCAACGAGGAGGCGTAGGGCAGCCCGGAGCCCGAGGAAGAGGAGGAGGATGAGATTTCGGCCATTTTGGAGCCCAGGTCCAACAAGGAGTAGGGGCTGCTGGCGGCGGCGGCGGCGGCGGCGGCGGCAGCGGCGGCTGCCGACTGGGGGAAGAAGACGCGGGCGGCAGCAGCGGCGGCGGCGGCTGCTGCTTTCTCGGGGTTGGCCAGGAGCGACTCGGGCACCAGCCCGCCGGCCGCGCCGCCGTGCAGCCCGCCCGCCTTCAACCCGTGCGGGTGCTCGTGGTCCGCCACGCCGCCCAGCCCGTAGGGCACGGGGAAGGCGAACTTGTCCTTCTTGAGCAGCGTCTTGGGCTTCCGCCGCGGCCGGTACTTGTAGTCGGGGTGCTCTTTCATGTGCATGGCTCGCAGCCGCTTGGCCTCGTCGATGAAGGGCCGCTTCTCCGATTCGGTCAGCAGCTTCCACTCGGCGCCCAGGCGCTTGCTGATCTCCGAGTTGTGCATCTTGGGGTTCTCCTGGGCCATCTTCCGTCGCTGTGCCCGCGACCACACCATGAAGGCGTTCATCGGCCTCTTGACGTGATCCACCGGCTTGGACATGGTGTCCCCCCGCCGCCCCGGCGAGCCGCCGCCCGCCCCGCTCTGGCGGCCGCCTCCTCCGGGCTCGTCTCCCGCCTCCTCCTCCTCCTCGCCCCCGCCGCGGTCCACTCCTTCAAAACCAATCTCGGCGGGTACCCTGACGCGGCGGCACCAGCTCCTGTGGGTGCGGGTCGGCGGTACCCGGTGGCCTCACTCCGGGCGCGGGGCGCTGCCGAGCGGCGGCGGCGCGTCCCCGTCAGGGCGCTGCGGCGGGCGGCTTGGGCGGGACGGGCTCCGCTCCCCGCCTGGGCCTCGGAGCCTCTCTCCGCGCCGCCGATCTCCGGGCCAGGGCTCTTCCTCGGATCTCCCCGCAGGCGACAACGCACGGAGTCCAGACGGGAGCGCAGAGAAGTCTCGACGTCGAGGATGGGAGCCGGCGGCAAGCGAGAGGCGCGGGTCGTGGGGGTCCTCGCTTCGTTGCGGACGCGATGCTCCCCGGCAGTCTCCGGTGAGGAGGCGAGCCCTTGACAGGGCGCCCGTCACAGTCCGCCCGATGCCATCACCGCCCGCAGAGCTCGGAGGGCAGCCCGCCGCGGCGCGGGGCCGGGCGGGACGGGGTCCGCGGCGGCTCGAGCGCTGCGGTGAGGGCCCCGGGGGGCGCGGGCCGCCCCGCTCACAGCCGCCCCGCTCCGCCCGAGGGGGCGCGGCGAGCAGTCCGCTCTTCGCACATACTCGCCGGGTGCCGGGCACCGCGGGCCTCCCGGTTCGCGCCGCCGGACAAACTTCCCCAAGTTTCGGCGGGATACGGGGCGCTCCGCCTGCCGTGCGGCTCCCCCTTCTCCGGCGGCCGCCAGGTCTCTCTGGGTTTTCTTGGCCGCCGACTCGGAGGGGCGGCGGGGCGGGCGGGAGCAGCGGGGGGCGGAGGGAGGAGGAGGCGGCGGCGGCGGCGGAGGAGGAGGCGTGGAGGGGGGGACACACCTAATTAAAATCCCCGGCGGTCCGCGGCGCCCGGCCCGGCCCCGCGCCCGGGGGGGGGTCCCTCAGCCGCCCCCTCCTCCCGCCCCGTCGGCGCGGCCGCAGGTACCGCGCGCACCCCGCGTGCCCCCGCGCCGCGCGCCGCCCTATATGCCCGCACGCGGCCTGCGCGCCGCCGGCGGGGCGCGCGGGCGGGGGCGGGGCCCCCCCGTCGGGAGGGGCGGGGCTGCGGATCGCCACGCCCCCCTCGCGGGCCAGCGGCGCGGGGAGGGCTCGGGCTCGGCGCATGCGGGGTGTTTTTGGGTGTTTTGGGGTTTTCCCGGCGGAGGGTCCGTGCGGTCGAGGGGGAGAGGCCGCCGCCTCCGAGAGCATCCCTGGGTGCGCCCAGAAAATCCGCGCGCTTTCTCCTGGACGCTCGGCACGCCGCTGCACGGCGCCCCCAGCCCGAGCTGTCCCACCGTGTTCCTCACCGGCCGCCTGTCAGTCAGGGTGAACTTGCTCGCCTTGTTTGTGCTTCGGCGGGTCGGTTTTGACTTACCCCTGTGGTATGTGGAAGCGCCGACTCCAATAAACCATTAACTCTTTCCCGTGTTGGCAGCAGGCTAGGCTGTGCCCGGGACGGCTCCGCCGCTCTTTTAGGGAAAAGCCGGAGCCGCGCTTCCCGGGGGCGACGCACGAGTAGGGTGGCAGCCGCTCCGGGAGCGCCACCAAGCCCCCCACCGGTTGCGCCACAGGGTGCGGGGCGCGGCGGGGACATAGCTCGGCGGCGGGGACAGTGATGTCCGCTCGCCGCACGGACTTGCTTGTCACGCCGCTCGCTCTCGTCTCGTCCCCGCTCCTCTCCGCGCATCCCACTCCGTCCTCTGGCCAGGTTCCCTGCTCCAGCAGCTGGGCTTCGCGCCTTCCTTACCACCGCACCGCACCTCCGCCCGCCACCACCACCCGCAGCTCCTGGGATGTCGGGATGTTTGGAGAGAATCCCAAAGCCAGCCATCCCTCCCCGCCGGTGAGCCCGCCCGGGTCCCGCGGCAGCCTTCACGGCCTGAGTGCCCTGTAAAATACCGGGCAGCTCCTCTACAAACCGCGTCTTCTCCCGGTTCGTGTTTTACGACCTATATACTACTACTTAAACGTAATTTTCTCAGTCTCCGAAGCCACCTTGCCAAGTTTGACCTCCTACAATCCAGTTAGCCGTGAAACAAAAAGAAAGTACCCATCGATTGTCAAAAGCGGGGAGATTAAAATATCTGATGGCGTTCAGGCTCGGCGGGGAAATGGAATTTCTGGAAGGTGGGAGCTCCACCAAAAGGGGCTGATCCCGGCGTAGGTAACTGCCCTGGAAATCAGGTTATCACCCCATCGGCCAGGGCAATCCCGCTTTGGGATGAACAGTCAATATTTTCAACTGCGTAACCCCCCGTTTGACCAGGGCTTTCCTGTCGATTTCTCGCGATCCCACGTAGCATTATTGTGTTTGACTTCTAAGAGGCGAGGACTCTATCCCCGTCTCTCTCCGCACAGTTTGGATGCCAGCTTGATTGACTTCCCCTCTTATCGTGGGTGCCAGCGGGATAGTGCCCGGATTAAGTCAATTCAGGGGCAGGCGAGAGCGTGGTTCATACGTCCCGGCAGCCGCCATGAGCAGGGTGAAAACCAGGAACATCTAATGGAAGGTGCTCGGGGCGTAGAGGGAGAGTCGGGGGAAAGAAGCAGCAGCGACTCACTGATGCCACCACCAGTGGCGCCCCCGCTCCCGGAGGCTCCGGGCCCCCTCCCTCCAGCGCCCCCGGAGAGCAGAGTGGGGGCTCACTCCCCAGTGGGCTCGGTTCCAGCGTGGATCTGTCCCCGCTCTCCCCGCTCACGCTGCCTCCCTCACGCCTCCACTCCCCCTGCTTGTGACCCCGAGCCCGTCAGTGCGAGACTCGGGTGCGGTGTAAAGAATCGCCATGGTACGGTGTAAAGGATCGCGATGGTCCGGTGTCGCGACAGAACCGCGTGAAGCACAAAAGGCGGGCGCATGGGTGAGGCCCCGTCTGATAGTTCCTACACAGATGAATCCCCGCACCACAAACTCTGTCGCTGGGGTCTGTCCCTGGGTACCACCGCGCCAAGGCTGCTGCCGCCGCCGGGCTGCAGCTCCGGATCTGCAAGCGCTCAAACGGCAAAGTAAGGTGCAGGCGGAGCGGGCACCTGTGGCACAGAAAACGCGTGGGGAAGGGCCATGGGTGTCAGCACTGGGCTCGGGGAGCTTCCTAGGGTGAGTGGTCACCGTCTGTCCGAGAACAGCGCAACCACCAACTCGCAGGTCCCCACAGAGTCGCATACAGGCGATCTGGTCTTAAAAAGAAAATGCATAACTTCCAGCAGAGAAGATGCCTCAACTCATGAACTTCTCTCTTCCAAAAATGTCACCATATGCAAACCCGTGGCTTCGTCTGCGCATGTTTCTGGTTACGTTCAGTCCTCCAAATAGTGAAAAAGGTAATAGAATTTATTGGTCATAAATTGCTGTACACGAATCTTCCACATCTATAAATGGCTCAGTGCTGGCTCAAGTCTATTTTTCCAGTTGCAAATGAAATACTTTTTCGAATCTGCTTTACAATGTGCTTTCCCTCTACCCTCACCTAAGTTTTGCGGCAATCACTGGCTCCTAAAACAACCACCCGTGTTTATTTCAGCAATTGCTGGTAGTTACAGGGGATCTGCGTTTCCCTAGTAATCTGTTTTCAAGAGGGTTTGCGCAAAGTGATAGAAACTCTTATCAGTTCCGCTTGGAGCAAGGTTAGAGTCGTGTTAGGAGCGACCAGAGGGTCCCAAGTCTCCCTCCTCCCGGTTTGAGGCAGGCATGGCGAGGGGGAGGAGGCTGCTCTCCCCGCGGGGAGTTTCGCGGCCGCGGTGCAGAGCGGAGCGGCTGCCTGCACAGGCACAGACACACAGGCACGGACACTCGGAGAGGCTTCAAATCCCCACACACAAGGGAAGACTTTATCGGAGTTTAGTTACTTATCTGGATTTTTGTTAAACCGCTACTGTGATCTCCGCGTAGTTGTGCGTGTTAATTGTTCTGATAATGTGTTGTTATCGATACAATAACAATATAATCGTGTATAATGTGATTTACTTGCCTTTGACCTGTCAATTCCTGACGCATTCAAATTCAAGGGCGGAATCTTTCCTTCTGCCACAGAAGGTGGTGTTGACGAGGGGGGGGATGGGGGGTGGGGGGTGGAGAGGGGGAACAAAAAGGCGAGCAGATGCATTATCATACGGAGGTTAAACGAGACTTTCCAGAATGCAGTGCTGTATTCCACCAAGTAACATCAGAGCGCTCCTAAGTATTAAAGAGGGTTTAGACTATCTTCTCGATAACCATATATTAATTCTGTCAGCTTGCTTACAGTAGATGTAGCTACATCGCACTCCAAATACTGTCCGATTTCTTGTATTCTGATCAAACATCTCTGGTGCAGGCAGCTTTAGGATGCTGCTCGTGTTTTTTAAAGCCGAGTGTAAAGTGAATTTCGAGGAAGCAAGCTCATTTCCTTCTAATTTTTATTTGAACCTAACAATCACGTGGCAGGTCAAAGAGATAAAAAGAAGTTGAAGAACAGTGGTTACTCCACTAGCGATCTCTGTCTCACCGTGCCTCCCAATTGTAAAGCTCGGCAGCCCCAGCGCTCCCCTGTATTGGCAGAGCCACATCGTGTTTTCACGGCGCCCTTTGAGCGCTGAAGCGTTTCCATCCACTAACTTTGAAAGCTGACATTTTTCTCCGTGTAGGGTATCAGTCACCGATTCTACATCACTTTCAGCTGACTAAAGTTGCCGGGCAGACTGGAATCTTAAGAACATCAGTAAGTTGGCAGGCTGATTATTCTGCTTGTATGGAGCTTGGCAGGTTTGTGAGCGCTCCTAAGTCTTTTCCCTCTTGCGAAGTCCAATACACCTGTAGCGAGAAAGGGGGTTTTACCCCGTGAGCTCTTTATTGTGCATAATACGCTAAACTCATTCATTAGTTTTTACAGAGGGCTTCCAAATGCTCGGTATTATTATTTTTCAATAACGTTTGCTTATTATTAGACCAGCTGGTAGCCCAAGCTCAAGTGAAGCGTCTAGCAAAGAATTCTATCATAAAACACTGGTTTCTAAGTTTATAGTTTCTAATTTGGCTGTGAAAGTGTGATTCTGGATGGAACTTGGCACTCCAATGCTCAGCTGGAGAGTAAACTTTTTATAATCAAAACATTGGTTTATTGAGTTTGCTATTTTAAGTTAGAAGAGCATTAACAAAGTTTTTACTAGTTTGGGCAGCACAGAGAAGTCCTGTACTGTTAAATGTTATGATTTCGGTAAGGGTAGAATATGTTCTGTATCTGATGTGATATTATTTTAAAAGCAAAGTTCAATCAATGTCTCTGTGCTTCAGGACACTGGGGTTGCTTTTGCAGGAACACAAGACCTAGATCTCACACAACTGTTGGTGGCAGTTCTGAGCAGAGGGTGGTGACAGGGTCCTTATGACATTTAGAAGTAAAGAAAACTTTAAAATTCAGCCTATTTGGACTTGCTAATAGACTAGATAAAGTTTATCTAACCTGCATGCATTTCATTTGTAAGCCAAGCTATTTTCATGTGCTTTAATGAGTCACTTTTTTCTGCTTTTTAATCCTGTTAGCCTTGCAGTGGCTATGCAGCCTGGGAAGAACAATCAGAACAGAAGCCAAGGAAGTCTTAGAACAAACCAAAAAAAGAAGATATTGGGTGGTTACATGCTAGTTCCTGTCTGAGAATGTGAAGGTGAGAATTAGAACTCACTGCAGAGTTCCTGTCCAGGTTTGGATGTTCCAGAAAGGGCAGCTAAATACCTCTGGTGCACAGGGAGCTACTGAAAGCTCATCAAGTACTGCAGATGTGTAAGCTTCACCTTCCTCACATGATGAAATCAGAGCTCATATGGATGGAGACTGCTGACTCTAAGAGTACAAGTTTCCCTGTTTGAGCAGTCATCTGTAACTTTTCTTCAAAGGCACTGAGCAGTGCTCATGCTCCCTTTTTCCAAAGAAATTGATCTTAATGTTGCTGTGCCACTGCCTTTAGTATAGTGTGGTTTTACAGTTCCCTGTTAGAAGAGGTGAGCCTTGCTTTTTGGTGTCTTCTACAAGCTTCTTTATGTATATAATCTCTGAAGACCTTTACATTTAAATTCAATCATAATTTTACACTGGCAACAATCATCTTGTTTCACTTCTTAGGGCTGTCCAGCAGGCATAGAGGATTCTTTTTCCTGGAATAAACACATTTCAATGACCAGTCTAGTTTTGTCCAAGGTTGGTTCATAACTGTAAACCACAAAAGATTGTTTTGCTACTCATGGGTGCTAGATGGGTCACAAAAAAATCCATGCAATTTCAAAGGCAAGGTCTTAGATATCCTGGATAAGATTGTGGTTTGGAAACCTTTGACAGGCATTTCAAGATTTGTAAGTGTACACAAGGAGGCTAGAAAGAAGATCAGACTTTGGGGCATTCCCCTCTGAAGAAGACTTAAGCATAAGTCTTCACTGTTTGCCTTCTGATTATAATGACTTTTTAATTGACTGCAAACAACTAGAGAACAGAGGCCCATAATGGAAAGAATCTGTATCTCTTTCTGGATTTTAATTCTTGGCCTTTACTTCTTTGTAGTCGGTGTCTTGTTTATCCTTTTGTTAGAATGGGCAGTTTCCGCCTTCCATTTGGTTAGAAGGAGTCAAAGTGTCACTCAGGAAAGTTCAAAGTTAATGGTCACAAACCAGTTCTAGTGATCAGATCAGTTAAACACAAAGGGTGCCTACGCTTACACACCACACCTACATTAGTACCTGTACCTACATTTTTAGCTCAGATCAACAGTGTCATGGCTTTTAAAGCATATCTCTTCACTATGTTCACTCACCATGCTTTGGTTTCTATTGAGGAGCGGTTTCAGAACAAGAGTAAACAGCAAGTTGCTCTTCATCTGCTCATGGGAATGTGGTCTGCAAAGGCTCTAGCTCAACCTAGATCAACTAAACCCCAATAGCATAAAAAGGATTTTTAAATTAGTGTTTATGGATTTTATTTAGTGTTCTTGTTTCAGACAGACAACAATTCCACTTTTTGCATTCATTTATTTTAGGTGCTTCAGGATATGCTTTTCTGCCAGAGGGTAGAAAAGGCACTTCCGCCTCTGCACCAGTGTTCTGGAAAGGAGACACTCTACTTTGTGGGTGCTCTGTGAGAATAGGCATAGACAGCCAAAACCCAAGGACCAGTGAGATCATAGTTGCCTGGCCCCCCTCCTGAACATAGCTTTTGGGATTTTGCTAGGCCTTTCATCATCCTCACAATAAACTTCTCACTGTCCACAGGAGGATATATAATGGCTTCCCTTGGCATGGACTTGAGTGTAAAATATTCTAATTTTCTCAAGTCAGTTGAAGAGTTAAATCTTACTGTGGTAAACATTGGCTAGAATTTTTTTATTTTCCTCACTTAAATGTACAGTTTCAATAACAGTAATTGCTAGACCATTGTTTATAAGCACTTTTCAGGTGTGTACAGTCATGTAATAATAAGCAAACACACTATTACTACTAGGGATAGTTCTGAAACACTGAGATCTTTTACTTCATCTGCATCTTAAAGGCTTCTGATGGAGTATATTGTCCAGTGCTAGACTTCAAGAAAGATGTGGAGTCTTTGGACAGAATGCAGCAAGACTGATCAGAGGTCTAAAAAATGTGATACACAAGTAAAGATTGAAAGCAGTGTTGTTACTTAAGCTGGAGAGGAGCAGGAAACAAACTGGTCTTTAAGGGTATAAAAGGTAAATGCAAAGATGAGCGGATAAAATTGTGTTTGTGGGAATAAACAAAAGGCAATGAGCTTAAGATGTGAATTCAAGTTAAATGCTGGGGGAAAAAAGGTCTTCAAATAG